AACTAGAAATAGAGCGTGACAATAGTCACGTGACCCCGCTGACGCAACAATGTACAATCTATTTAGTTCACACAAATACAAATCAAACACTATCTACTGGACTGTCTGTTAAAGTATTACATATACAATCTATTTAGTTCACACAAATACAAATCAGACTATCTACTGGACTGTCTGTTAAAGTACTTACATATACAATCTATTTAGTTCACACAAATACAAATCAAACACTATCTACTGGACTGTCTGTTAAAGTATTACATATACAATCTATTTAGTTCACACAAATACAAATCAGATTCTATCCACTGGACTGTCTGCTAAAGTACTTACATATACAATCTACTTAGTTCACATCAATACAAATCAAATACTACAACTTTGCTTAAAGTATTTACATGTATAACCTATTTTGGAACATAGCACAGAATTAGTATTACTTCAATTACTGTATAACATATTTGGGTAAATTTGCTGTGAAGTTATTTAAAAGAGTCCGACTTGTCGCTAACATTAGATACACAGTTCTGGAGATGTTTTTTCTCTACATGTAGTGGAATACCTAGCGAACATACCTGGCTTTGGCCACTGTCCGGCCAGCAAGTGGAGAGTCTTCAGCTCTAACCTTAGAAGTAATAATATGATTCATAGCACTGTAGCGTTCTGGGTAAGGTTTGCTTTGAATGCCTATCGAGTTTCGTCTAACAGAGGACCACATATTACCAAAGAATGGGTGGTTTCTCTAAAGAGAAGATAATGTAAAATTTATTGATGACTTCTAGCTAAGCCAAGAATATAAATAGACCTACGTTCTAATTAATTTAACTATCGTGATAACTCTCTAAACCTCGTGTTAAGTAATCTAACCTTAATAGTACGTAATTTAACGTCTAGTCATCGTTTTAAGTAACCAAACCTTGGTGCTAAACCATCTGAACTTTATGTTAAGTAACCCAACCTTGTGCTAAGTAATCTATCCCGGGTCCTAAGTAATCTAATCACAGTGTTAAGTAGCCTAGCCACTGTGTTAACTAATCTAACCACCGTGTTAAGTAACATAACCACCGCGTTAAATAACCTAACCCTATTGTTAATTAATCTACCGTCGGGCTATGTAACCTGACTTCTGTGCTAGGTAATCTAAACTTTACATTAAGTAGTAAAATCCTTGTGTAAAGTAATCTAACCTTGTGTTAAGTGCTCTAACTCGACGACTAAGTACTCTAAATCGGCTACTAAGTACTCTAATCCTTCTGTTAAGTAATCCTTCTCTTTATTAAGTAATCTAACTTTGGTGCTAAGTAAGCTAACTCTCGTGTTAAGTAATCTAAATGTCGTTTTAAATAATCTAAACTCTCTGTTATGTAAACTATTTCCAGTGCTATGTAATTTAAACATTAATTAAGTAATCTAGCCTTGGTGTTAAGTAATCTAAGCCTCTTGTTAAGTAATCTATCCCTTGTTCTATTTAAGCCAACCCTCGTTTTAAGTAATCTAACCTTCTTCCTAATTAATCTACCGTCGTGCTAAGCAATCTAACGCTTGTGCTAAGTACTATATACGTTATTATAAAGAATCTAACCTTTATGTTAAGTGATTAACTTAGATGCTAAGTAATCTAAGCCTTATGTTAAGTAACCTAAACCTTTTGTTAAGTAATCTAACCCTCGTGTTAACTAATCTACTTTTGGTGATAAGTAATCTAAACCTTATGTTAAATAACCCTAATAATGACAAAGCTAACAATATGTCACATAATATTCATCTAAAATACAAACAATAATAACAAAGCAGTAACTGATGCTACTAATGTTAAAACTAACAATGGGTCACATCATCTTCTGCTAAAATAAAACTAATTATAACGCAGTAACTGATGCTAATAATGATAAAGCTAACAATGTGTCACAGCATCTTAAGCTAAAATAAAAACAACAATAATAACGCAGTAACTGATGCTAATAATGATAAAGCTAACAACGTGTCACAGCATCTTTGGCTAAAATATAGACAATAATAATAACGCAGAAACTGCTGTTAACAATGATAAAGCTAACAACGTGTCACAGCATCTTTGGCTAAAATATAAACAATAATAATAACGCAGAAACTGCTGCTGACAATGATAAAGCTAACAACGTGTCACAGCATCTTTGGCTAAAATATAGACAATAATAATAACGCAGAAACTGCTGCTGACAATGATAAAGCTAACAACGTATCACAGCATCTTTGGCTAAAATATAAACAATAATAATAACGCAGAAACTGCTGCTGACAATGATAAAGCAAATTTACAATGAAATGTAGTGGGAAAAACGATACTTGTTTAGGCTGAGAATAATTCTTAAACTATTTTCTTAATTTGGTAAAATATAGAAAATTATTGCTATTTGTAGTTTCACAGTAATATAAATGTTGACCATCACAATTGCTTCAAAATAATAAGAAACGTAAAATCAAAATTTCTTTAACCTCCTTACTCTGTGTAATGGCTCCGAATCCCAGAAGTTTCCAAATTCATCTGTATCCAGGTTTCCTGAAACAGCTCGTCGAATTTCAGGACCTACTTCGTGAAGTGTACGTAATCCGGCCTGAAGGATGGAAGAACTTAATCCATAATTTGTAATCTACATTTTCAAAACATAAACCACGATTTAAATGTTTTAACAATCAACACATAAATTTGTGTCAAATGTTTCAAATTATAGCTTAATATATTTTTAAGTTAGTAAACTAGAATCTACATTTCCCTATTGTAGATCCATTATTGAGTCGAGTTTTTTTGAAAAAGACTTAATCAAACCTACTGTTAAAGCTACAGCACCATCATGGCCAAGAGCGCGTTCTTCCTTCCTCTTCTTAAATCTTCGGAAATAGTCTTGGATTAAGAAAGTGGCATAGAACTTGCCAACTGTAACGTCATCTTCAGCTAATATAAAAACATAATAATAACGCAGTAACTGATGCTAATAATGATAAAACTAAAACATGTAACGCGATATTCAGCTAAAATAAAAACGTCAATAAAAATGCTGGGTGCAGACACTACTAATAATAAAACTAACCATAGAAAACATTTAAAATATTACTAAAAAATTAGCCATGACTTGAAATATTAAAATAATATTTAACTGAAACCGTTAGTGGTTTGTTTGCTTTACTCAACACATATAATCAACGTTTATTCAATTCTATGAAAAGGTTATCATGATGGGTTACTGCTGTCAGAACAATAAAAGTGGGAGGCTACTGCTATAAGGACTACAGTAGTAGAGTGATCTCGCTACTGCCAGAATGATTACAATGGAATGCTAATCTCGTTACTCTATAAAGAACACTATGAGAGGCTGGTCTCGTTATTGCCAGAAGGAATACAGTAGGAGGCTGGTCTCGCTACTGCCAGAAGGACTACAGTGCGAAGCTGGTCTCGGTATTACCAGAAGGACTACAATGGAAGGCTAGTCTCGCTACTCTATAAAGACTACAATGGGTGACTGGTCTCGTTACTGCCAGAAGGACTACAATGGGGGGGGGGTGCAGTCTCGCTACTGCTAGGAGGACTGGGAAACATTTATTAATTTTTAACACATTTTGTAAATCTGGACTGATACAAACCACCAGCAGGAGGTACAACTTGGTCCAGTAACTTAGGACTAGTTCGTTTCCAAATCTTCTTTATGACAGCACGCAATTCTTCATTTGCTTCGTCAATGTTTCCTTAAAGATACGAAAAAAGTGTTTTCTTTAGAAACAGTAATAATTCTTACACTGTACTAGATAATTAACTACAAAATAAAAAACTAACTGACGAAAATTGTTAATTTTAGGTGACTTACGACATAAGACAGATTATTTATTTTTCATTATCCATTTATTTTATTTTATTTATTTCCTTATAAATAGTATTATAACGAAAGAGTGGAAAATTCAACTCATAAAAGCGAACAAATAGCTTAACATTTTCTACCTACACACAGGTTTCCTTTTGCTATGTGTGATCTTATGTAAACTTTAAAGAAATCAGCTTGATCTGTATGTGTGAAATAGCAATAAAGATTAAACATGAAGATTTCCCACTGATGAAAAATTGTTTTATATGTAACTAAATCAATAAATTGATCTCATGTCATTGTTATCTTTAAGTAAAATAGATCTCGTTTTTAATATTACTGAGGAAGCAAAAATTATATGAAAACAATGTTAGATAATATCTGCCTTCTTTATTTCATTTGTTATTAAATCCCTAATGGCCTCGTTAGGCTAATTTCTTAACCTGCATTATGGAATGTAATAACTGATTCATTTAACTGACTAAGTACTTGTGTCTTTAAATTCAAAGCCGAAAGTACATTGTCTTGCAAAAGTATTCATCCCCAACCAATAATGTCGCATTTTGATGAAACACAAACATTCTAAACAATTTTTAACGAACTTGTTTTTATTCAAAACACTAATGACCAAACTTAACACTGTTATGTGTGAAGGAGGTTGAATATGAGTAAAATCTGCAAAGAAAATATATAAATCTTTCAGAGTCACTGTTGACTTCACAGTGGCATCCATAACTAGTTCCCTGCTTGTCTGGCTGCTTAGTTTGGAAGAGCAACCTGATCTGGGTAGTGACCGGGTTGTATGAAGCACATTCCACTTCTTAATGGACTTCACCATACTGAAAGGGATAATCAGCGACTTTGAAATGTTCTTGTAACCTTCTCCTGGTCTGTGCTTCTCTACCACTTTATCCCTGACTTGTTTGGAAAGCTCCTTGATCTTCATGGTGGGTTTGTCTTATCACTATGTGAATTGTGGCTTGAACAGATGCATTTACTCTAAAGTCAAGTTAAACCACTTTGATTACACATAGACAGGGACCATTATACTAATTTTACTTTCCAAACTAATTTTTTGCACCTGAACTGACTTAGGGTTGCCGTAGCAAAGGGGTTGAATACTTATGCAATTGAGAATATTCTAATTTTCTATGAAAATCTAACCTACTTACACAATATCAACGTTATTTTAGCTTTCTCAGTTTGGATGAGATTGTGTAGATTCTAAATATAAAGTCCCATTTGAAAGTTTCATGATAGCAAGCTCAAACGGCAACAAAATATGGAAACTTTGCAGGGGG